TATATATATATATATATATATATATATATATATATATGAAAAAATGCTAGGGTGAGCCCACTAGCTCACATGAAAAAAATGAGCCCAACGGCCTCGATTGAATTTGGGCCGATCTGACGATCACAGATGTCTAGTAGTGTTTGAATTTTATTTTATTTTTTACAAATCCAAATCACTTGAAATTTGGAGTGTGCGTATATAAAAAATAGGTGAATCTTCGAAAAATATCAAAAAAATATTTTACATGAAATAAATTGACCAAAATATCACCAAAACATTTCGGGGGTATTTTGGTCAATTTGTTTTCGTGAACTATTTGTTTTATATTTTTATTCGTTGTGGCTTGATGAGAAGAACACACACTTAAAATTTCTAGTGACTTGGATTCATAGAAAAAAAAATCAAAATTCAAATACTACCGGACATCTGTGATCGTTAGATTGGCCCAGATTTAATATTGGCCGTTGGGCTCATTTTTTCCTGAGAGCTAGTGGGCTCACCCAAGATTTTTCCTATATATATATATAGGAATAGTCTTCCCAACGCCTATAGGCGAAAATGAATAGTGATTTTGCCTATCTTCATCACCGTCCAAAGTTCATCTCACGGTCACGATTGCCCGTTAGACTTTCATTTTTCATTTTTTTTTACAAATCGAAATGATCTGAAAACTGGAGCGTGTGTATATATTAGTGAGGCGCACCTAATAAAAATATAAAAAAAATAATTCGTGAAAAACAAATTGATATTTTCGGTCAATTTATTTCATGTAAAATATTTTTTTGATATTTTTTATAGATTCCTCTATTTTTGATTAACACACGCTCCAAATTTCAGATCATTCTGATTTGTAGAAAAAAAATGAAAAATAAAACACTACCGGACAAACGTGACCGTGCGATGAACTTTGGACGGTAATGAGGGTAGGCGAAATCATTGTTCATTTTCGCCTATAGGCGTTTTGTAGTATCTTCCATATATCTATATATATATAAAACTTTCGAGCCCTATCCTTTCATCCGAGAGTTTCTGTACCTTGAGTGGCTTCATGCCTATCCTGTGTTTGTTGAGGATTGACACAACTCCGGAGGTGCTGCAGGCATCCTGATGTATGCTATGGCAAACACAACCTATTCAAGATTCAAAGACAAATGATCCTTGAAGCTGATTTTTGGAATGCTGAAGTAGGAAGGATAAAGTTCCTAATGGAAGAAATTGAAATTCTTCGAGAAGAAATAATTTATTTAGTTCTTTAATTGTAAATAATGTGTTTTTATTGCAAACAATCTATTGATGTTTTCAAACAAAAGTATTTGATGATTGAAATAACTAACTATGTTACACCACTGATGATCTGTTGATCAAGCCTTTGGCGTAGCGGTGAGACCCTTGGTTTCCAGTGAGATAGGTCTTGGGTTCGTTCAGGTCTCTCTCTTGTAGACAAGCTGACCTAACCACAACCGCCATCCCCCATCCCCCATCCCCCATCCCCCATCCCCCAACCCACACCCCCTACCCCCCAAAAAAAATAAAAAAAAAGAGAAAAAAAAAACTTCATTTAAGATCTATTCTTTCTAAGAAGAAAAACTTTTAAACAAGTTATGCTGGATTTGACTAAGAAAATTTGATATTCAAAAGATGGAAACCAACATAAACATGCGCAGATGCATTTGATTTATCTTCATCATATATATGGTTTATCTGTACATGAAAGATCAAAAGTTACTCAACTGGATTTTATAAATTGGTTGTTTATCTTATGATGTTCTTTTTTCCTTTTTTTTAAACTGTGTTTATCTGATGATGTTTTTATTATTAAATTTCATATTTTGGTCCTTCCTTACTCTCATGTAGTTATTGAATTTAAGTAATTTATTACATTTCATACTTTGGTCCTTCCTTACTTTCATGTAGTTATTGAATTTAAGTAACCCATTTGCTAAGGGTTTTCATGAGGGATGTTGTGGACAGGTGTCAGTGGGGTCCAAAACAGTTCTTGCCATTGGTCCAGGTTTACTTCCTCCTCTCCATACTCTCTATAAATTTATGTTGTTTGAATTTTATCCTTTGTTACACAGCTATCAGTATTGCAGCTACTTGTGTACAAAGTTTTGTTTATTTTCCCCAGATAAAAAATTTGCATTATTACCTTACAAGGGAAAGTATATCAGAAACTTGTTGTTTATGGTATATGCTATACAGTTGGGGCATCCACTGTCCATTTGGAATTACAGATGGTGAGATCAACCTTAGTTCTTGATGGCAATCAGTCACCTTTATATGGTGGATTCCCTGGATGGTGTACCATATGCCTTTCACAGACCATGTCTGGTATATACTTCCCTACTCTACCAAAGGTTCAGAATGCTATCCCTACTCTACCAAAGGTTCAGAATGCTATCTGACTCTGTACACCTCCCAGGGATACTTTATTTATTCGTGTTGATATAGATAGATAGGTAGATAGAGAGATAGGTACTTTTTCAGAAAACCACTTAAATGGAGCTACTGATTGAAAAAAAAAAACGGGAAAAGAAATTAAAAAAGAAAGAATAGAAAGAAGAAAAATGCTTAATCAGAGTTGAGAGCTTACATTTGAGTTGGAAGAGGCATATAAGGTATTCTTTTAGGGAAACCTCAAATAAACTCGACGAGATAATGACTATGAATATTTTTACTTAAAAATATATCGATTTCTGTGCGAATTTTATATGTGACATACCACTGAAAATATTTTATTTAAGATAATGGAATTTCATTTACCTAGAAAAAGGATACTGAAAACCTTAAACCTTAGTTATTATGAGGGTAAGTTAGCAATAACTACTTAGGTTTTATAGTGTTCATATAGTTCTTTCCAATGTTTAAAAAATCAGTAGCCCAATTTGGAATCGGGCGATCTGGATTGAGTATCGCCTGGACCGTTGTGGATCCGCTAATAAAACGGGATCCGTCCGTGTTGCTATAGTAGACTCGTCTGTATGACATCACGGATTAGACACATCACCGATCCATACCGATTTCTGACATCATCGAATGTGTATTTGTTTTGAAACAAATTTTTATTGAGATTTGATGTTTGAAAAATCACGTGGGCATGTATACGTGGCCAGTATTTTAAAAATCTCGTGGGCATGAATCGTGGTGCCCACCCACTTGCTGGGCACCTCGCAATGGTGCTGCGCTCCCCACCACGTGAGCATCCTATGTTAACAGTAAAGTGGGTTCTAAGATTTATATTATTATTTCTTCCCACAATCTAGTGATGTGTGATATTTTTTGTTACCTCCACAACGTTGTTTCCATTAATCTTTCTCTTTTATACGTGAGATGGAAATCTCTCTCTTTTTTATACGAGAGATGGAAATGTCTCTTTCTTTGTACGAAAATGCAAAATCTCTTTCGTTTATACGAGAGATGGAAAAGTCTCTCTTTCTTTATATGAGAATATAAACTATAGTCTATAAAATGAAATGGTCTATAAGATACAATTTATTTATTTTTTAGATTAATTATATTGGTTTTTTTATATTTATAATTTACAGAAAATATAGTAGATATAATTAATTTTCTAATTACAAAAAAGGAATTGCATATAATAGATTCACAAAAATTAATATTATAACTTATAATTTATAAGGCATTTTAGATTATTTAATGCATTATTTTTTCTTAATAGTTGTAAATAAGATGATATTATAAGACATTTTAGATTTGTTCTTATTTGTATATACTTATAAAATATAAAATTTTCAGTATATATTATTATAGTTAGTTAGGTTGTGATAATTTTGGATGAATAAAATGAATTAATAAATATTTGATACTTTTATGTGATACAAATTTCACTTTATATAGAAAATTATTTGTTTTATTTATAATATGGAAGTGTTTTCTAATATTTTTAAATTATTTTGATGCAATATTATAATATTATATTGTAATTGATAATTATACAGACATCTATATAGGAAATCAGCGTCTCAGTATTCACCTATTTTTACAAACTAATGAAAGTACATAATGCACCACTCCTAATTCATTTAGAAACTAAAAGAACACTCTTTTTAGAGATTTATAGTGATTTTTTGAAAACTTTTTGAGACAAAATTTGCTGATTCGGCTAATTCTCTGATCCGATCCACCGATCCGACACAGGTATGGGTGTGAACGATTCGAGTCACCGACCCATTTTTTTAAACACTGCTTCTTTCCGTAGTATTTTTCTAGTTAGTAGTCTTAAAGCGGCTAATCAATGGCTATTTTGAAACAAAGGCTGCAATTACTATTTGTTTAGAGGTTTGTCAGTGACACTGGTAGTAGCTTTTGTGTTTGTTTCCCATTAAAATGGCTGAATAGGATGCAGAGGCATATTTATAGGGCATTTGGGTGCTTGTATGCTCATTTCCCTGTATGACAATGATCTTGCAGGAGATGATAATGTTCACATTGGCATACTTATGAATGAATGAATGTATTGGTCATGTGTTTGGTGCATGCATGCGTGTGTTTTATGTAAAGCATGGGTATATGCATGAGTAGGTGTAGAACATTTGAGATGTTCGTGTGGATGTATCTGTATGCAGTCCACCCTTTCTTTCAAATTTGGATTTTATCACACGCTTACAGATTACTGTGCAAATGAATGCAGATTTCTAGCTTTTTCTGGCATGCACATTTTTCGTCTACCCCAAAGGGAAAAAGTAAACAGTCTGTTGATGTATGTTTTTGAATAGGAAACAAGGCTGCTGTGGATTCAATCACTGGGAAGCTTCGTCTTCTTTGAATATGTAATCATCGTCTCAGTAATTTAGCTACTGTAAGCTCAAATTGCATTACCCTTCTGCTCGGAATGGTAATATTTCTTTGTATCAGAAATTTTGGAGCACTTATTATTTACTTGGTTTCAATGAAAGAACCATTGAGGCACGTTCCTACGCCTGAGTTCCATCTTTTGTTTCCTTTAGGTTTTCTTATAGAACTTCTTTTCATGTATAATCAGGATGTTTGTGTGAATCATGCTTTATCTTATAATGTTTTATTCTGTATCAGGTTATTTGGAGTTAGCAATTATTATACTTAATGACGTGGTGAAGAGAATTCCATGGATGGTTGAATTTTTGCCAACTAACATGTGTGTTATTATTGCTGAATCATATTAACCTCAATTGTAATTTTGTGGACATGATTTAATCCATTCTGTTGTGAACCAGTTTTGGGCAGGGTGCTTTTAGTCATTGTCAAGGGACTTTTTGGAAGCTTAGATACAGGTCCTGATCAGGGCTGATATCAAACTCCGTGAAAATGTGTAAAATCAACTCGTGACTAGTTTTTTATATTGATTACCAAAGATGAACTTCTGCATTTTTCCAATGTAAAGTACACCAATATCCATATGACCATAAAAAACATGTGGTTGCATGTGTTATTCCTGCTCAATCGATGAATGGATGGTGATGGAGAGTGGACCTTATTGGAACATGATGTAAACCAAGTGTAGCTCTAAGTCTCCCTCACATGTATCTATTGATTGGATGGTTATAGACACTGCTGATCATAAATTTGTAAGGGCTATGTGGATCATGCTATTTTTCTTTGTTTCATATTTGGAAACTTAAGTTTCCAAAGCATTCTAACACAACACATGCAAGTGGAACAGTATGTGGTACACAACCTGGAGATCTGCTATCTATCATCGTCGTCAATGAACGGAGGAGATCCACTGCCGTTCTGCTGACTTGTAGTGCACCAGCTCATCTTCCCAGTCCATTTATGATGATGGATGGTGGATGGGTCTGCGTATTGCTACCGTACACAAATGTGTACTCTCACCGCTGCTCTGCTGACTAGGAGTGCAGCAACTAAGCTTGCCCATCCATTTATGATGACAAATGGAGGAAGGGGGGGCCTGTGTATTGCTATGATAGCAGTGATTGCAAACTCGGCTGGCTCATTGCTGAGTGAATACTTAGGTGTGACTCCGGTCATTTAAATTTGTTTTTAAAAAAAAAACAGAAAAATATATAAAAATGTGGAGTCAATGTATATAAACTATATACGTAATTGGGTTATTTTCTACAATGATTTTTGAGTTTTTCATATCATTTGTCTTATTTTTATATGGGATTCTCTACAAAGAGACCATCTATTTTTTGTAAAAATGGAGGGCACAATCATTTTTGTCCTTTAAATTTCAAAATAGGTTGTTGTTCGAATGCTATTGAATTGACACAAAGTTCCAATTTTTTTTTTTCGGATTTCATGATTCATTCCAAACCATTCAATTTGACATCTAATGAGTGAGAATGATTGTGACTTTCATATACAAAAGATAAGTAAATTATATAAACGTGCTCTTAACATGCTATTTCGTAGTGATCTATAACTGCATGTTTTTTCTTTTCATGTGATATTGACAATGCAATTTGTTAGACCTACCTTACACGAGCCAGGAGTTTGAAATCTCATTCTCTAACAAACATCATCTAATCAATGGAAACTTCAATAAATGGTTAAAACTGAGTAGTTTTCACATCTACCGGTTTCTAGAGTTTCGGGTTATTTTAAACATGGGTTCCAAACTTTCCAGAATTCCAGATAGGTTATCGAACATGAATTGATTTCCATGGCTTTTAACACGCTTTTTGAGTTTACTGAGATCATTTAAGCCTACTTTTGAGAATTTCCGGGGCAAAGTTTGAGAATGAGTTTTTCAGGAAAAATGGGAGTCTGAAACGGTATTATGACAAAGATGATTTTCCATCAATTCACGTTTCCTATGGCGTATGGGCTCTTCTTCTGTTTTCACAAAAAGAAAATAAATTTTTAGAAATCTCCTTTCCTGGCAGAAATAACAATGGACTTTTTCATAAAATATCTTTTATGAAGAAATTTGACTATACTTTTCCAGGACGACTTTTTCAGGTGAGAAAATAAAAAAAGAAATCAGGCGAGTTTTTGGCCTGTTATTTATGCAAAATGACTAGCGAGCAATTTTATTTTCCGGCCTTCGAATAAAGAAGTCCGGCGATATTAGGATGAGATGAAGCAGAATATATTTATGAAATGGTATGAAACTCCAAAAATAAAAATTTTAGAAGTGCCTCATATCTTGAAGCTTTTACATCAAATTGGTTGATTTAATCTATGTTCATTGAAATTTGAAACAGAAAAATAATATCAGATTACTACATATGTTTATAAATTATATATTGAAATTAAATTTTTTTTATTATTGAGATGTATTTATTATTTTTTTTTTTTTGAAAAAAATACTTTCCAAATTAATAAAATTGTCATTCTAAATTCATATAAATTTTAATTCATTTGTGTCTCACTTCCCAATTTTCATATTATCATAGCAAAAATTTCTTTCCAAACTAATAAAGATCTATTCTGAATTCACATAAACTTTAATTCAATGATGCCTCATTTCTCAACATCGGCCATAAAAACCAACCAACAACTTGCTGCATCAATTTGCAAAGCCACATCCACCATGGAATCAACTAAACAACTACCTCAGCCATAAAAACCAACCAACAACATGTTGCATCAATTAATGATTCGCAATCTGAACTTCTTATCAATCTCCTCCCATGTCAAATTAAAAGTAGATGTTTTGTGTTAGTATTTAATTTTCCACTTCAATATCATATATAATTGAAAGTCATAAAAATATATAATTGAAAGTCATAAAATGATCATAAAATGGATCACTTTCATGTGATAAAGAAGGGAAATAAAAGCTTACTGTTTGAATACATAAAATATCAAGATATCATTTGATTCGCACTGCCCCATCAGTATTTAATTTAGATTAATATATGAGCATACGCAGGTTCATGAACAAATATCCCAACCATCAGTATTTAATTTAGATTAATATATGAGCATACGCAGGTTCATGAACAAATGTCCCAAAGGCATGTGTTTTTCTCTTGTCGCGTTTGGCAAGCAGCAAAATGCATTTCCTTAGAGACATTTTTTCTATTGCTCCGCGACACCCAAAAGTGGGCATTTAAAGTATAGCTATCGAGATCGGACCGGATCGGACTGGATTATCTAGTTTGATTGGGTGAACTATTGATGAATGCCTTGGTCAGTCTTGTCTAAAATATAAACCTGGTTTACTCTAGAACTAGTGAAAGTTAGTAATTGATTGGTTTTGAAAGGTAAGATTGTCCAGTTTTGACCAAATTCACCGGCTAAACAAATTTGAGAAAATCTTTCAAATATATTTTATATTTTTAAATTATTATTTTTAAACAACATGTTGTATCAATTGACAATTCGCAATTTGAACTTCTTATCAAATCCTCCCATTGTCAAATTAAAAGTAGATGTTTTGTGCCAGTATTTAATTTTCCATTTCAATATCATATATAATTGAAAGTCATAAAAATATAGAATTGAAAGTCATAAAATGATCACTTTCATGTGATAAAGAATTGAAAGTCATAAAATGGAACACATTCATGTGATAAAGA